AGTTTACCGGTAAAAGACGAAATTATCGCCGGTATATTGCCGGTATACTGCCGGTTTTTTTGCAACTACCGACAGTACCGGCGGTAGAGCGCACATTATACCGAACGGTCAACCGGCGGTATACCGCCGGTTTTTTTCCGGTTCTAATCACGTGGGAATGTGCACCCTTTTTTTGTTAAAGAAAGATTGTATGAAAAAAAGAAAAAAGTTAAACTTAGCTTTAGAATTTTTTAGAATAAATAAGCAAATAATGAAGTGAATAAATAAGTGAGTAAATAAATGAAATCAGAAATGTTTTTGTGAAAAGAAAAACAAAAATTCTAATTTAGGATAATAAACAAAAATGAATTTAGGTGAATTTTCGGTTTGAAAGAATCTTTTTTAGAGTTTACGAGAGCAAACTTGTTTTTAAATGAATTTTAATGTCATTTTTAATTTTTTATATAATTTTATTGATTTTAACAAAAAATTAATAAATAAATAATAAGTAACAAGTAAATTGTAGTAAGTAGCAGCGACGCGTTTCGAATATTCTTCAGACTATGAATGACTATCTATTGTTTCTTTCCATTCCTCTATCTTTGTTTTCGTAGTTCGTCCTTTACACTCATCCAATTGGGAATTTTCTCTATTCTATAGAGGCTACTATTCTCGTTGGAGCGGAAAAGATGTCGTTCTAATATTATCATTTTTTATTTTTCTTAGTATATTCTAACTCACAGCCCAATCTCGATAGTGTGGGTGCGGGAAAGGGAGTAACTCAATTGGAAAAATCTCAACTCAATCTCAATGGGGAGGGACCTTCTCACTTGGTCACTCAACCCTATCACAATAAAAATTAACACGTTACAAAAAATTATAAAAAATACATATAAATAGTATAATATAATAAAACAACAAAACAATAAAACGAAAAACAAGTCAACTATAATGATAAAACGTACAAGAACGAGAGACTGAAAACAACAATAGGCCAGGTCCTTCGTTCTTGTCGTCGATGTTGTTGACATATCTATAATAGAAAAACAAACAAGCAAGCGGGGAGGGGGTCTCTACTCTTCTATCTCTATTCTATTCTAAATTCTCTGCTAATGCCTTAATCGCTGTCTTAGGAGGTTTCTTATGAACCAGTATACTCTTTAAATTATCTGTCAACTTATGGGCAAAAACTACTGGGATATCACTAAGTGGGGTTTCCTCAAAAATTTCCTTCCAAATTTGATGAAATCTAGATCCAAAGCGGACCAAACTAGGGGTATATGTAAAGTGGACCATAATATCTCTATTAAAATTGATCCCGGGTTTCTCTTTCTTATTTCATCCTTCATCTAAGACCTTATCTCTATACTCACTATATCTCTCGCTAAGAAGTAATTTTTTATCCTTCTCTCCCGTTAAAGTTTCAAAAATCTCTTAAAATGTTCGTCTATAAAATTTGGGGGGTACTTATTCAAAAGAAGGATAATTCTAACTTTTTCTATTTCTTTTTCTAAATCTTCTCCTTGGGAACATATTCTAACTACTCTTAACAGTGCTGAGAATGGGATATTCTTCATTACATGCGGAGAGTGTGCTGAATTAAACGGTAAAATATAAGGCTGAGCGGCTAACTTTCTATAGACTTTAGTTCTAAAGTTGGGAGCTTCTACTTGTACTCTTACATCTAAATAATCTACATGTGGGCCTGTTTCAAAGGTTAATCCTATATTGCTATCTTTCTTACCTAACTCTATTAATATCTTATCCATCTCATTCTTACTTTTCTTAGTGGTAATAAATATATCATCTCTAAATCTAAAGTATAACTCTCCTTCACTATTCTGCTGGTCCTTAAACTGTTTTTTCCATTTTCTCATATAAACATCAGCTAAGACTTGGGTACATTCTGAGCTCATGGGTCCTCCTCTTATCTGCTTATAGTACTTCACTTTCTCTCTGGGTAACTGTAGAACAAAATATGCGTTTTCTAAGACATGTCCGAAGAGGGTCCTAACTGTATTGATGATTATTTCTCCATTGACCTTATTTATCTTATTTTCACCTAACATCTCACAAACGCCTAAGATTGATTCTTGTTGGGGTATCATGGCATATAAATCTGTAATGTCAAAGGTGTATAAAAATGTCTGGTCTGTTGTTCCATGTCTTTTTAATTCTTTTACAAATTCTATACTATGTCTCAAACTGTATGGGGTTAATCTATCAAAAATGGGACGGATAATTTGATCGAGAAAAGCCGAGATTTTTTGTGTTGGTGATTTCATTCCTGAAAGGATTGGTCTGAGTGGTTCTCCTACCTTATGGTCTTTTGGGTTATAATAAAGATGGGGTAACTCGGCATCTTGTGGGTTTAGTTTTAATTTCTCAAAATATTTCCCGGGTAATAATTTTCTATTTACTAAATTCCTTAATAATTCCTCTGTCTTTTCTATCATACTACTTAGTGGGGATTCTTCTATGTCTAGGTAAGCATCTGTCTTCTTCATATAGGCTATGGATTTGGGTGTGAGTGGGTGTGGGTGTGGGGTTGGAATGCCACTTCATTATGACTCACACCCACACCCACATACCCACACCCAACCCACGCCCACACCCAGACCCAGACCTACACCCAGACCCAGACCCACACCTACACCACCCACGCCGATACTCATACACCCACACTCACACCCACATCCACCGATATAAATCGTTATTCTGAAACACGAACTGTTTTCCGAGATTTGTGTTCAAAAGAGTTTGAACTTCACAACTTACACAACTCTGTCAACATGACTCTCTCGATCTCTCCCACACATGGCAATACTGTGGGTGCCAAAATAGGACTTTCACCCTAAACTCAACATACTGAATGGAAATTTCCAATACTACACAACCTTGAGTACCTTCAGTGTCAAATGAACTCGTGTCAAATATTCTATATCTAACATAATGATTGCTTTTGACTACGTGCTACTTGTTAAAAGTAATTTAGAGCGAAAATCCAATTTCACATTCAACAATTTCTTTGCACATCAGAAACCGTTAAAAAATCTACATCGCTCACACATATTGCACTGGTTTGGGTGCCGAGAAAGGAGTTTCCACAAGCAATATGGATGCCACATTTAGAAATACCGACCCGATCGTTCTTCATCCAACACGCAATTTAAAAATGTAGCTAGACGCGCTTCATTCGACAATCGACCATTCATTCGAATATCTCATATTGTCAAAACTTCCAAGGAAACAAAGATCATTTGATAAAATTGAGTCAGAAACATCGAAATAACTTGAGTTATCTTGGTAACTATTACACACCTACACCCCCACCCTCACACAGATATTCAATTTTACAGTCGAAACTCACGAATAAACATTCGCACCTTCATGGAGCATTAGAATGGGCGTCTTAACCGAACACACAACCTTGCACTGACACCCAGCCGAATAGTGGACACTCAGGCATATGCTATAGCAAGTAAAACTCACACTAAGAAAATTGTGCCAATGAAGAGCATTCAAGAGCTGATAGGAGGTCATTATTGTATCATCAACTGTAGAGCTACAGCCAAAAACATAATTGGCAGATTCGAGCCGAGTCCCGCGCTGAAACTCGTCCTCAAGCGATTTCATTCACATCCTTCTAACGTACTTAGATTTTGAAACTTTTATGTGCTGCGTAACCATATGGGGGTACTCTTTTGCTTCGAGAATACCTTATCGCTTCAACTAGTTGGCAAAAGAAATGTTGTCGACCATACGTATCCTTCTTTAGCGAAAAAAATTTCTCTTTTCTTCACTTATATTTATTCAGTAGTCAAGTGTGTTGACAGTGTGCACACAAAAAAGCAGTTTTCTTTGCCTTTCTCTTGTAACTACTTGCTTGGGTGATTTTTTTTTAATGTCAGTGAATAGGCGTGTGTCAGCAGCTCAAGGTTTCGTTTTGAGTGAAAGTCTGGGTATTGGGTTTTTACACTAGTCACTGTTAAATAACTTGGTGATTGGGTTCGTGTGGATGGGTGCAGACAAGATATGGTTTGCGCATATGTTTACAAAGCTGGACATGAGTCTACGAGTAGTTGGATAAAGATTAGAGGTCTAAGCGATACCAGGTAGATAAAGCTGGTGTTTAGGTTTTCTTTGCGCATATAAACGGAAGCGTTTAACAGCGAATGGATGGTGAACGAGAGCTTAGATAGAATGGAAGGGTGTGGGTGTGGGT